TCCCAGGGCGAGGCGTATTCCAGTCCTGGCCTGGAGTCGAAGGGCCGCAAGCATTCGGTCAGGCGGCTGGCAGCGACGGGATCGAACGTATGACATATACGCCATTGGCCGGTGCGGGAATTGCCAGCGTCAGGATGAGCCGAACGGGATGCGTAAAACGACGACGAGGACTTCGACATGAACTGCGCCGCGCGCCTTCGAACTGTCCGCCGTTGCCAGGCTCCATCGGTCCGCGCTTCGGCTTCAAAGCAGACCTACGTTCCTCGACGCGGAGACTTCCGTGCCGCCAATGCTTCCGGGGCCGACGGCGAAAATCAGTCTCCGTGCTATGAAAAGACGCGCGCCTACACTACTGCCACCGCAGGAGCGAGGAGGCCCCGCTCGGTCCCGACGCCACACGCGGAGTGATGCAGGTCGACACCGAGGCGCTGAAGCCGCAGGTCGCCTCCCTCGCGTGCCCGTATGTACCTACCGTGCGCCCAGAGAGCGTTCACGCCATGCCCATCCCGACTCCCGCCGCACGGCGCACGGCCTCGCAGCCCTCTCAACCGAAGGGTTCCCCCCGCGAATGGCACCGCTGGTCGGTTCCGCGGCTGCATGGCCTTGACGCTCGTTTTGCTCGGGGAATGGTGCCGAGGAGGCTGTCCATACTAGTACAGCCTGTATAGGAACAACATGCCGATCACACGGGGCGCGTGGGACCCAAGGACAGTCGCATGAGGGTCTGCCCACACTCCGTACGGCCTCCTACTTGTCCTTCCACCCCCACCACCACTACCACGTTGTCGTTGCATTGCCCGTTACTCTGTCTCCTGCTGTTGATCAACGTCTTGCGATGTCTTATCGAGACCCTGGAGTCACTTTCGCTCAGTCTGCGGCCGACAGGAAAGATGGTGACGATCTTTGGCGGATGTTGTGGGCTACTGTGAAGGGCGAAAGTGCGGAGCTGGTGACTTCGGCGAAGGCCAATGTGTCGGCTTTATTGACTTTTGTTCGTACCTACCTAGTACAATGTAAAGCATTTGTTATTAATAAGCCTAACCAGGCCGGTCTGTTTGCTGCTCTCGTGGGCGCATTTCTCATTGAAAGCTACAAGAACCTCTCTCCCGATCCCCTCGTAGAGATCAAGCAAGCGATCGTCTACCAGACGGCTGTCATACAGCAGTTAATGGCGATGAACACGACACATACATCGAACTCCACGATGCCTGTAATGCCGTCGGACAGCTTTGTACCTTCTCGAAGTGATGTGGCGGTAAACACTCTGTGGTTTCTCAGTCTGGTGCTAGCACTGTTATCTGCTCTTCTGGCCACGTTATTCCAGAACTGGCTCAGTGAATCAATAAGTACTGCGACACATCCCTTGACGGAGACGATAGAACAATACTCGCTCAGACGGCTTCCCTCACATGCCGCCATGGATCGTTATGGTTTACATCACCTCCCGACCATAATCGTTGGCCTCATGCATACAGCTGTGGTCTTATTTCTTGTTGGTTTGTCTCTGTTCTTGTTTCACATTGACAACATCGTGGCCATCGCTGTTGTTGTGATCTCCGGCACTGCCGCACTGCTCTACTTGGTCATTAGTTTCATTCCATTGATCGATATAGACTGTCCCTATTACTCGCCGCTGAGTCACTTACTCTCTGGGGTCATATACAATCTCGTCGTGTTTGTGGCATGTGGTGTGATGTACTTGTTCAGTGTGCTGATCACGACTGTGCGCTGGATATCTGGATATAAGGTTACCGTCTCGGATCTAGACCCAAGTTTCATCATGGTCTTTATTAGAGATCCAACTCTCTTTATTCGGGTCCTTTGGCCTCTGATGAAGTGGCTCTTCTGCTCGAGATCCATAGACGACTTTGATCAGCTCATGGACAACACGTTTCACTCACACGAAAGTCGTCCTTTGATCAGCAGAGCAGGTCTCTTGTTCTTGATGACGCGTACAAGAGCCTTTGCGCTAGAGCACCCCGCATGCATGCAATATATGGCTCGTTGCGTACTCCGCCTCGAACAGCAGAGCTGTTGTGATTTCTTAATCAGGCTCCGCAGCAATGAGATTGTAACGATCAAGCTTGTGAAGGTGTTCGAACATATTGATTCAGCTATTGCTGCAAAGGGTGCTATTCGATTCCTACAGATGATTGTAGCCGCAGAGAGCCGCATGGATAATCAGTCACAAGTTGAGAGCAATCAGGATCTCAGATGGGAAAATATGACAGCCATTGTGGCTGCGTTTCCAGCCTTCATTGAGAAGGTTGGCAGGCAGAACTCTGAAGCTCTTGCGAAGGGAGATACGGGGTTACTTGCTGCAATAGCAAGTCTCCGCTGGATGCTCATTGTGGCTCTACATAAGATCCAAGGCCAACCTCGTGATTCCAACGAGCCAGGCTTTCTTGCCAGTTCTGCAACGCGATCTATGCTTCTTACCCTTGACAGCGTGGAGGGCTTCCGCATATGTCCTATGTCTGACACCGATCATCATCATTTAGAAGCCCTCCTGCAGAAGAATTCCATAGACGCCAAAGCAGAACTCGCAGCTTGCAATGTTTTGACCCTTCTGGAGGGCGTTAGTCACTACAATTGGCCAGTGGGTGACTGGCAATGGCCTGGTATGAACTATCTCCTCAAAGGACAACCAGACATGTGGGAATGGCCTACGGTTTTTGGAGTCGGTAGAGCTCGGGCTCCTGCCTCATCTTGTCTGCGTGGTTTGCTGAATCAGACTCGGGTGAAGGTGGCCATGGGAGTGCCCACAGATGCATCAACGCTTCAAAGCCCACCCGTGGATCCTCTGGTAGTACGTGTACTGCGCAATCTTGCCAATATCGTCGAATTCGGGCCATCATCAGCATATTCCGCTGCAGTCGAGGATGAGTTCGATACGAGCAGCGAGCCGCCGTTGGAGAGCAGTTCCTATGACGGCAGTTACATCCCGCTCATGCAGGTTATTGCCGACACTTCTGTGACGGATGAGGCACCCAGTGAAAACCCCATCTAGCTGTTTTCGGTTCGGTTAAGTAGGCGCCTTACAATTGTAATCGGACGGTGGCTAGTGTAGTTCAACAGCTGAGAGTGCTGCTGGACCGAAGAGAGAGAATGGGGAAGGGCAGGGTAAGCCCTTGTCTGGCCGATAACCGCGACGGCGCGCGGGCAGCGAACGCGGTTTGGAACTGAAGGGAAACGGCGAATACCCCGACGAGGGTCACAATACACTCGTCGCGAAGAGCCAACGGTGCAAGGCGGATTGGGACTGAGTGCAATGTAACATATACAATCGTCATCTATATACGGGTGTGACATTTACATGCGAGACAAGAACGGGACGAAAGAAAGAGTTGGGCGGGTAGGTACGAAAACCAGAAGATCCTACACGGAGAGAACAGCGGGCCTCCAGACAAGAGGATGGAGGGAGAACGTAAGAAGCCTTCGCGGGGCTCGCGCTCGCTCTACGGGAAGTGCCGCCACTAACGCTCGGCTGAACCTGTGCCCCGGCCTCGCAGGCTGGGTCGAACCTACTTGCATCCAACCTCGTCTGTTGGCGTTGGCACATCCCCACAACGAGCTTCCAGGTTGGGAGACGGCAGATGTAACCGGCCAGACACGGCCGCAGTCGAGCCGCCACCCCGTGCATGAGCTGCAAAGCGCAACTACGTTGAGACTGTCCCCGCCCAACCTACAGCGGTGCAGTGGACCCGCTGCCAAGCAAGCTGCAGAATTGCTTGTTGCGAAGAGCTCGCTCAACGGGGAGCTGGGGGACTTAAGGTAATAACGTCGGAGGGAGGCGGCGTGACTCCGCGGAGACCACGGCGATCCGTGCCGGACGTCCTCTCCACCATGAACCTCCGCTGCTAGAGGGTTCGGCACCGCCGCATCAGCAGACGAGG